ATTATCTTCATTTCAGTTTTCTTGATGCTGATAAATCAATCTGAAATAGTTGGATCTGTTAAGCTATGGTTCTGTTAACTTTCAGCATGAATCAGAGTTTAGTTTCCGAAAGACAAAATATGTTCCTCTGATCAAACAATCTTGGCTCAGAAGGAATATAAAATGATCAACTGGTTTATTTTCTAATTAAAAATCTATTCAGTTCAACCGGATTCACTGTAATCTAAAGAGCCCGATCCTGATGCTCAGCTGTAGCGACCTGAATGACCATAAACCATAAAAACAAAGATTATACTGGCCTGCAAAATAAATGCTGTCAGATGCAGTGCTAACACTGTAACCATAGGATTACTTCGACTGTAGCTGCGCCACATGTTGTGGTTGGGATGTTACTGTAGCTGACCTAAATCTTTACTCCCAACAAGCTTTCATCTTCTCTGAGAGAAAGCTAAGAGGAACATGTATTGTTTCTGTATTCCTCTTTTCTGCCTTCAGTTCCATTAAAAATAGCAGGAATTCATATTTTTAATACCCAAACCCAAAGATGTGGCCCTGCTAATCACTTATAGCATATATGGTCGACCTATATACAATTATCTGCATTAATGCTGCACAATCCTGCTGTAAAAAACCCAAAGACATCATGCTCCCATTTCTGGATACCATTCCAGATGTCTTAATCTGCAATATTTTTATCACAGCGACAAAATGCATCACTTGCCTCCAATATGTGAGACTGCCTGCAAAATCCCATATTGGGGGATGATATTAGGTTGTTTTTTCCCAGTATGTTAGGCATCCCCGCTGTCCTGCAGGTTTAAGAGTTTTCCCTGCTTTAGCACAGCTGATTATGATGATTGCAGTGGAGCACAACCCTTTTAATCAGCTTTCAATTAAAATCAGCTGTGCTGGAGCAAGAAAACCTCTAAAACCTGCAGGACAGCGGCCCTCGAGGACCGACTTTGGAGATGCCTGCAGGCACTGAAACAGGCTAAACGTTCGGCATACCTACAAATTATTATTATTTTTTTTTTCTTTTCAAAATATTTGTAGATACATAATAAAGTAAAATGTTTTTTATGAGATCAAACGTTGTATCAGAGTGTGGAAAAGCACTGGGTGATTGATCCAGCGATTCATTCCAGTACATGCTGATAAATCTACACCACACGCATTTAGCTGTATTTACTAGAAATAATTTATTTAAATTAATTAAAAATTATGATATTTTTGTTTGATTTCTTTACAGTTCTGGCAGTGGAACCGGTGGCCCAAGGCGTGGAGCAGATCCCTGAAGATATGAACTGGTCCTACTCAGGTCTGTTCTTTTCTGATGGTTTCTTCATTTGTAATCCTAGATTATTCTTTATGGGAGTGAAACACTAAAGCAGTTGGACTGCAGTGTGGATATCTGATGAATTGCAGGTATTATTCAGTCGGTAAACGTTGATCTGCCTCGGACCATATGGGTCCATAAGTTTAGATTACTCAGCAGGGAGCCCCTGTGGCGTTAAGCTACGATCAGACAGAAACAAAGAGTGGACGCAGACGGGCAGTAATGAGCCCTCAGGGGGAGATTAGAGTTTTACTGAGACCTGCAGGCCATAGCTGAACTAAAACACCAGCTATTAGGGTTATTAACCTTCACCTCTAAGGATCATGTTAGCACTAACATGCTAAACTGTATCATGATTTCAAAGGATCTCACATGAACTATTAAATCATAATGGCAAACCAGTTCATTTATATTTACTCCTTTAGATTAGTCACACTGAGTCACAATGAGAAGTGAGTTAAAAGCAAAACACCTCTATAGACTTTTAAAGGAAATCTATACCTGCTGGGTAATATTTTTTTGCATTTTTAACTCAAAATACAACAAAATTAAATAAAGAAATAACAGTAACTATTATGTATTAAAGTGTAGAATTAAATATATTTGCTTTTTTTCCCCACTAAAATATTTTTAGGAATTAACTGCAGTAATCTGTGCACAAATCTATGGAGATATTTCTGTGTTTTGAAGTAAATTCATGAAAGAAAACGATATGAAAGAGGAAAATAAAATAAATATATAAAAAACATTCACAACGGTAGCAAAAACTTATTTGAGTCTGAAAGGTATAGTTGAGAATGTTCTTTTTGCGGGTGGTTTCTCCTAATTGTCAACTTAAGACCGTCCTATGCACTCGTTCCCATTTTCACTAACCGGTGGTGAGTCTGTCCTAGTGGAAAACAATGCAAATCTTCTTTTGGAAAGTAAGCTTGTATGAGCGATACAAACAGCAACTTTTAAACAGAGCGTGCACGAGGAGAAATGGGCTCGTGCACGCTCTCACATGCGTTTAATAGGCATTCACTGATCACTGAGCAGGTACAGGGTGGTGCATGCGCTTTTTTTTGTTTTTTAAAGTGGCGAGAAATAAGAGATAAAATATGAAATCTTTCTCAAAAGTAGTTTTTTTTTTTTTTTACTTTTTCTCTCGAATATTTTTTTTTCTGCATTCAGAGTGAAAACATTTCATCTCAAACATAATTTCTTTCTCAAAACTTTTTTTCTTCTCTAAATATTTGGTCTTGAATCAGGATTTTTATCCTGAATTAAAAAATGTTTTGTGTATGTGTTTATGCTCCTATTGGTCAGTCGCAAGAGAACTGACAGCTGAGTGAGTCAACTCAGAAATAAAAGGGAAAAATACAGCTTCATTCATACCCATAACAGATACGGAAAACATTTTAAGAAAATAAATTTACTTAACTAAGCTGGAGCATTTTTACAAGTTTTGAAATAGGTCAAGAAAGGGCCCCCAAGTTTCTTTAAATTTACCAGTTGAGTTTTGAACAGAGCATCTAATTCGTTCCAGTTTCAGGCACGACATTAGGTCATGTAGCCACTGCTTGTGAGTTGGAGGAGCTGCACCTTTCCTCCTGGTGAGAACTGTACGTCTCGCTAACAATGAGCAAAATGCCAGTGCCTGTCATTTAGAGGGCATTAAAGGCGACCCCTCACCACTGAACCCACAAAGAGCCAGAAGGGGACCAAGTGTTAGCACCACTCCAGCCAACCTGGACATCATACAGGAAACGTCTGTCCAGAACTGACCCAGAGCGGGGAAGGACCAGTACATATGAACCAATGTAGCTACAGCAATTTTACATTAATCGCAGTAATCTGACCAAAATCTGACCAAATTGGCTGAATATATCAAGAGCAAAAGGCAAAGAAGTTGATTGTTTGGAAATAAAAAGTAGAAGACACTATTTGAATACAGATACAGAAAAATTTAGAAAGAAATCTCTCCCATTCATCACCTTAACTATGTTTTGCATTGAAGATCATGTTAGTTCTAACTAATTCATTTGGTTTTATAAAGAAAAGTTCTGTGTCTACATCTTGAAGTTTTTTCTCTCCGGTTTGTTTCCCGAGAAGAGATCTCTAGGTAAAAACTCTTTAAATAACACCTCATAATGTATATTAAATAACCATGAGGCAGGCAGGTATTGATAGTGTTTAACAGACTCGCACATCATAATCCAAGCAGTTAACAGAAATGTTATGTTCATTGAAACCATCATTCATAAACAACCAAAAGTACAAACATTAATAAGTTGTGACTTTGCTTAAATAACTGCAAAAGGTCCAGATTTTTATTAATGTTGTATTCAGTATTAATCACACCTTTTAACCTGTTAAACACCTGTTAATGTGGTCACACCCCAGAGAAATATGTCGGTTCATTTCCCATATTTACCATATTCATTATTTTTGTTTTAACCAAATCACATCAGCCTCAAATAATAATTTTCAGTCAAGGAAATATAATTCTGTTTACTGTCCAATCATGTGCATATTTTCATAACGGATCAAAAGCCTGTTCCTTTTGTGAAAACAAGTCAATTAGAGTAAAGTTTAATGGTCTTTAAGCCAAATTATTGACCCAACCTTGGCTTCTAAGGCAGTGCATCAATGCTTCTTCAATCTATTACTGCAAATCTACGTGAAAAAGCATCTCATACTCATCGCCTTGTCATAGCTTCGCAATCAATTTGTCTGCCACCTTCACCTTGTTTGTCAAATTCTAATGGGTTTTTTGTGCGATACAGAGCTGAATAATGAATAACCTGTCAGCAGCAGAAGTGAAGCGGATATGCACTCTCCTCTTTGGGTCCTGAAGTTCATCAACACAACCGAGATCCTCTCAGTGGTGGTTCATTGAGATTCACTGTACAGTAACTGTAGCCGTAGCTATGAGTGTGTGTGTGTGTGTACGCAAGCTTGTTTTTGTGTCCTGCTCTCTTTCTCGCCTTATGCTGTGCTCTGAGCCGAGAGTAAAAGCATTAACATTTGAAAGAAGCCCACTTCATTGTGAGGCACAGCGCACAGCGATTCTAGCTGGGTCAGAAGTAGGGGGGAATGAGGGGAGATGAATGAAAGAAAGACGGCCAGCGGACTGAGAGACGAGGCATTGGAGAACTTTTAAGACAGGATACATCCAAATCCCTATAGGCCTTTAGAATGAACTGGCCTCTAACAAACCATGGTTGTTTGTTTGGATTTACTGCAACAGGTTGAAATGACTACATATATCTCACTTCAACTGAAAACAGAATTTCTACCTACGCTGCAAATATAAACAAAAACACATTTTCCTTATTATTTTGTGTTTTTTTTTTCTTAAACTTGTTTTTATTTTTACATAATCGAATTAAAAAAGCTTTTAGCAATTATTTGATCAATAATGACACTGATATTGATGTCTACTTGTGGAACATTAGAAGTTAGCCAGTATATTTGGAAGTTAATTGTGGACTTTTTGGTTTATTCTTATCAGGGATGTGTGAGATATTTATCAATATCGGTATCGGCCGATGTTAACATATCTGTATTGCTCCAATAATTAAAACTGAAGCAGTATTAAAAACTGATTGTCATGATCCCAGCGCTGATGACTGGATTGGTTATTCATTCCATGCATGTGTCCAACTCTGTCCAGTTTCTAATCACTGCTCCTCTGATCCACCTGCTCTTGACTCTATTTAAGGTGCTTGCATCCAGTTATCAGGGCCAGATTATTCTCGTTCTCTCGTGCCAGTGGTGAGATGGTTTTTAGCGTACCTTAGTGGTTCTGATTTTCTGATCCTGACCTGTTCTGCCTCTTAACCACTGAGCTTGCCTGTTCCCATCTGAATGGTTTGCCTGAAGTGTCTTTTGACTATTGGACCTCTGAGCTTGCCTGTTTTGACCTGTTTGCCTGACCTGGCTTTGGACTCCTGCTTGTTCTCGGTTCTCCAGGGCTGCAGCGTGTGGGACACTCTGGGCAGTGCCTGCCGCATCTTGTTGGCAGCCCACCAGCTGGATCCTACCTCATTCTCAGGACATGGGCTGAACTATTAAACCAGGGTTTCCTGTGATAGGTGACATTCACACTGCAGGCCTTGATGCTCAATTCCGATTTTTTTTGCAAACTCAGATTTTTTTTTTTTTTTTATGTAGCTGTTCATTTTTCCAAATATATGCGACTTGTATGTGATCTCCTGTGTGAACTGCATTCATACAACGCAAGTGTCCCGCATGCGCAGTAGAAGACGCAATGACATCACAGGCCAGCATGTTCTTTTTTTTCGGAAGTAAACATGGATGTTAGCGCCAGCGCGCAGCTAGTGGTCTTTTCCAACCATAAAAACAACATCTTTTCAATATGGTTAAACATAAATACTGCTCTCCGCGTTATCATCTCCCATGGTTTTTGTTTTTCTTGCCGCTTCTGCGAGGCAAGACGCATAATAATGACCTTTGTCTGGTATTAATGGCGTTCAGGTCTGTTGAATCCGACCTGGCCGTTCAGACACAGGTCGCATTTGAAAAGATCAGATTCGCATCGGATTCAGGACCACATAGCCAAGTGGCCTGGGTCCCATTAGAAAAAATCAGATCTGTGTTGACTGCCATGAAAAGATCAGATCCAGGTTTTGAATTTGGGTCACTTCAGGCTGCAGTGTGAACGCCCTAACCGCAGTAGACGCCCTAACCGCCGCTACTCAGATCATCCGTGTTTTTAATTTAATTTGAAGTTATCCCATTGTCTGTCTTGCCTCGAATACTGTGTCCTCTGTTCTGAGTCATTACACCACTATTCTGCAGAGGATTGTTTGGTCATGTGACGGTGATTGTGGTTAGTGTTCAATAGACTACTAAGAAAATATAGTGAGTTAATCTACAAGCTGTTTCACATTAAATCAAACTTCACTACACCATATCAACCCACCAGAGAAATCTAGCAAGATAAGCTACAGTATAATGACAAAAGTAACTTAACT